TATTTAATATTTCTCTTTCCTTATCTTTTTGTGCCCTTAGAAATACGACCTCTACTTCAGCAAGTTTTGAACAGTATGAGCCCTTATGTGAATTTACCAGAAGTAATACAAATTATTCTTCAAGACCCAGCATATCGTGGTGGGACTTTTGGTGAAATCCGAGATCTGATGATGGGTCTGTATTTTTTAACCAATTGTGACCTGTGTAGAAGATTTCCTTGTTTTACTCCCACTCCTTCCTTGCTTCTTTAATTTTTAATAATGTTTTCTTCTTAATATTAGGGATGCTGGGTAACTGTTGGTATGAAGAGTTGCTACTTCAGTCCACATTTCGACTACTGAGTGCTGATTTGCATATGCAGTTAGCAAAAGAACTCGCAGTCAACAATAAAGGGTTCGGCCCGAGAGCTTCGGCAGCTGTTCGTAATTCCCCTATTTGCAGTTATTGTCGTGACTCTTTAGCAACTGTTGGGGCTAGTGAGGATGAGAAAGCCATTCTTTTCAGGTACAGACCTTTCATTGATTATCCATCTAGCACTTCTGTTCTAAAAACTAAGTAGATTATTAGAATTCAATTTTTATTTTATTTTTCAGGTGTGGTCACTCCTACCATATGAGGTGTATAGAGGAACCTCCACAGTGCCTGAAATGTGTTACTTGAATTTATAAAAATGTTTACATGTGCCATTGAATGTTTTATGTGTCAAAGTTCATTTGGAAAATGTTGTCACTTCTCCTAGTAGTACTAGCACCTTGACTATACGGAAGCATTTACTCTTGTCTTGTTAAGCAAAGACACTAACTCATAATTTTTGTAAAGCAATTTTATTTGCTCAATTTTTTATAGTGTTGGTCATTCCATTTTTTGCAGGGTTGTTTAATTGTTTCATAGCAGTATTTTATATTTTCCGTATATTTCTCCTAGAGGAATGTATAAACTCAGGTCTTATAAAGCAAGCTAAGACTGCAATAGTCACTAGTCTTTATATGTAGATTTTCTGTACTCATGTTTGAAGCTTTAATATATTATTTATTACCTGTTTACGAGCTGACTTACTTTCAACTCCCTCTGCCAAGCAGTTACCCGATGAGATCAGAAGACTATGGGGGACGGAACGCGCGACCTCCCCCTCGCATCCCATTCACGACTGTCACCACAGCTCCGGCTCGGCCAGCCGCGGGTGCGCCATGACGACGGGGGCGGGTAAAGTGAAGTGAAGGGGAGGAGTTTTGCGGTGTACAAACCCGGGCTGAGTGCTCCGCTATCATACCGAAGAGTAACGTTGCGGCAAGGCGCGGCACGCCCTGCTCAGGCTGCTGGAGGCTGACACTTGTCATCATTAAGGGGGAGGGAAGCTCATTTAGGCGCGGCTCGCTTCTCCAGGCGTCTGGAGCGGAGCACCACCACGACGTGACGGCGGAGGAGCCGGCTGAGCTGGCTGAGCTACTACTGTACTGGGAGGAGAGGCGATGCAAGGCGAGGAGAGGAGGACTTTGCGTTGCCCAAGTGCCGCGGCATGGGCACGGGGAGCAGCGCGGGCGGGTTGAGGGCAGGCGGGACGCCGCCGCCGCGGAGCGGGGGGGACCGGGAGAGGAGGGGGAGGGGGGAGGAGGCGCCCGGAGGACCCCAGGGAACCCGGCTGCGAGGGGAGTCCAGAGCACCGGGTCAGCGCAGGTTCACGTCAGTCTGTTGACAGCTCGCCAGCCCAACGTCGCCAGGCGACGCCCCTCTCAGCGCCCGCCACACCTCGATCTGTCTTGCTGAGACCTGAGAGGCCTGCTGTGAGTAGTATCACCCCATCAATGACGGGGCTCCTGGAAGGGAATGACCATAATATCGCCACCTTAATCACTGTCGATATTACACCGATTGGCAACCAAAACATTCATCGAGTTTCGTGAGGTCAATCAAGGAGTCAGTCTGCGCCGTATCGTCGAAGGGCAATCTCATATTTCCACAAATTAACGCGAAGGCATGCAATTAAACGCCGCTGATAAACCCGATAAACCGAAACGTGGACGTTCGAAACGACTTGGTGGAGCTTTGTATTACTTTCCAGAAAATCAGGAATGAGGAGGTTGTGATGACTTAATGTAAACGTGGCGCAGCTGACCGCGCACTTGCGCAGTGACTCTTCTGCGGGGCTGCGCGTTCCCGGTGAGCACGGTGAGTGTGCCGTGTCGTGCCGCCGTGTGACAATGACATCAGCTAAGGCTAAGCACATCCGCGCACTCCGCGAGTCTGGCGCGCCCCACAGCGCCTGTACCGGGCAGAGCGGCTGTTGCGTCCAGACCGCGGTCTCCGGTCCGTAGCACATCATACTACCCCATGGGATCCTAAGCGTAAGGGGGTATGTCCTACAGACAGAGATTCGTCTCAAAACGTCAGCTTGACGTTTTTTGACGAAAAATTGACAAAGTGTCATCATTCTCACGTTTTTTGACAAATCTATGTTGGTAAGGAGCAGAGGGCGTTCAGCGACCGCCAGGTCTCTGCTTTGAGTGAATATGGACAAAATCGGACATGATGGACATTTTTGTCGGTGGGCCATATGCACTATGCACATGCAAAGGAAACGATCTCCTCTCCGGGCTTGACCTCCCACCAACGTCAAGGACTCGGAGTAGCCGCCCCCTGTTCGGGCCTCTCTCGGTCTCGGAGGCCGCGAGGCCGGCCCGCGCGGCCGACCAAAGCCTGCCAAAGCGTAAACTTGCACTGTGGCGAGAAGGGCCGAGACCTCGCATCGCGCTACGATGGACTTCAATAATACCAGGGCCCTCGGTTAATGGAAAAACGATCGTTTGCAGCCGCGAGCGATGGATCAAGGCTCCAGGCACCGCATGCGAAGGTTCGTCGCTGCGTAGTGAAAATACTCTACTGAAGGTCGACGAGCTGGGGGAGGAGGGAAGTCCAGGTCCGGATCCTTTGCGTCTTGAGGCGTAATGAGCTGCGAAATTTTACGAAAGAGCATGCAGATGGGGCAATACCGTATACGCCCTTCACGACTTTTAAAGAGGAAATTAGGATCGGAACCAACCGAAGTCTCAGCTGGTCAATACGGAGTCATTTGTTAATTTTAGAACGGGTTCCGCTCCTGGCTTCCCGACTTCGTATTTAATGCAAAGATCGTCTATTCGGTCAGAACAATACGCAACTAGTTTGACGTTCACTTTCTGAGAAAGTCAGTCGTCCCCCTCTTTTCCTTGTTCTTGCCGCTAATAAATGAAAGGTCAAGGAAATGATATTACACGGTGTCACACGAAGAAACCTCGCGTCGAGAGAACGGATGGGTCGAACATTTGTCGAGCGTTCACCCCGGTAGTTTGCTAAGGTCGTTAACGTAATATCCGCGTTTAAGGTGGCGGGTGGTGGAGGTACCGAGAGAAATGTTAAGTTTCTGGCACTTAACTCCATTTGATTGATCCAACCCATAAGGTTGGTTCCAGACGACAACCCATATTGACAAATTTGAGGGCCTGAAATCGACGGCTTTTCGACAGCCGATGTTGTTACTACGACGACGTTGAAATGTCAACTGTCGAAATGCCGTCATTTTCAGGCCCACTTTCGTAATTATAACAGCTAAGGCCGTAAAACCATTGCCGGAATGAAGTCGGAAAAATTTCTCACTTGGAAACGTATCATAGTGACGAAACTATTTCATATGCTCGACACGAGGCGTGTTTCATTAGACGTAATTACTGTGGATACCAGGTGGCTGATGAACCCCGCGCAGTTATGCTGTACCGCATTCCTACGCGCGGGCGGGTTGCCTACTCGCTCGGCTCGCACGTAATGCACTATGGTCAGGGACGATCTGGGGACGATAGGTAAGCCCGCCCAGTATAACTGTGAGTTAGATTAATCAGCCACCTTTTCGATAGGCCTACTGGCGGTAATCCACTTTTGATGAATGAACTAAACGGTTGATTGTTTGATCAGCGATATATCACAAAACAAATTTGGATAATGCCACAACAAAATTTTTATAGTTATGATGCATAATTTTTTTTAGTAAATATTGGATTCTCTTTTTATTTGCCGTGCAAATAGAGCAAGTCGGACGTGGCCAAGCGACCAGCAGCGTATCACTCGTGAAAAAGTATCTACAAAAAAGTAAGAACAAACATTTGTCGACAAAAATTCAACTCAGTAAAATGAGAAGTATAGCCGCGTTTACCGCCATTTCCAAAATTTCGCACACATTCTTCTAGAATTGGACTCTCCTAGGGGGTTAAAAGCAGCATTCTTCTATCCTGGCGGCAATAAAGTCCAAAGCAGGAGGCTAAACGAATTAAGGCGCGCGGTGAGTGAGGAGGAGTGAGCACGATTCTAATGAAGCAGAGGCAACTTTATGTAACGCGGAGGTGAGGCCAGGCGCCTGCCTACCGCGTCCTTTTTCTCATCTCTCTCTCACTCGCTCTCCCGCGGCGGGCGGTCCCCCTCCTTCCTCTCTCGCTTCTTTCCGCCGCAAGCAGTGTCAGTGTCGCGCCGTGCCCGGGGCAGTGGGTTACAGGGAAGGACCTTAAGGGGAGTCCGACGGGCAACGAAGGCGAGAATACATGGAAGGTTGTGATGACAGAATCAGCCACCTGGTATAGTGTAAGAATGTGTCGTCAGCTAGTACTCTCACGAAGAGAGACAAGGCAGCCTTTTAGATACGCGGTGGTGAGGGTGGGGTTGCCTCAATCTCAGTCTTTACCGCTCGTAGTCGTAGTATGCACTCGTTCAAGGTCCGCCGCACTGCTTGCCGGCCCGTGCACCTTTCGGACCAGCGGTGGGCGGGGCCGAGTCCGGTTGGGCCGCGCCGGAGCCCTCGAGAGCCTCTTCTAGGGTCGTTCGTGGCTTTGTGGCGCCGCCTCGTGTATTGCGACAGTTAGCAATTGAACGTCCCACGCACCCGCTTTTGTGGCCGCCACGCTGCGGCCGCGCGCCGGCACCGCCCGACGCACGAGGCGCCAGGTCAGGTCCTCTGTCCGCGTGCGACTTCCACCACCTCTGTCGCGCCCACAGCCGGCACATGGCAGCGAGAGAGAGAGGAGAATACTGCCAAAATGCGTTTTTGAATTAATGCGCGCGTAAAGCGCTGGAGCTCATCATCACGCCATCATTCACGCCGGGCCTTGGGAAGTAAAGCCAAGGAGAGGGCACACGAATCGCACGAATCAACAAACATGTGATTTTCCTGAGCCGAGGGTCGGACGTTGTTGAGTAATTCAACTTCGGTTGGGCCGGTGGGCCCCGGCCCCGGCCCCGGCGGCCTGGGGGTCACGAACCTCCCCCGCGAGCAGACGACAACCTCACACCAGAGGTGTCGCGCCGCCGCCGCTCGCGCCCATGGCCTGCAGGCCAGCAATCCCAGCCGCCAGTTTTGTGCATCATTAACTACTGCAGCCCGCCGAGTGGTGCAGGTGCAGGTGCAGCGATGCGGCGGCGTGCTCTGCATTGTGGTCCTTGGCGGGGCGGGGCGGGGCGTCGTGGTGACAGACTCGGTGGGTTTAAACTCTTTATCGCGCCTAAACGGCGGCGGCGCGCGCAACGCGGGTAGGGAGCCGCGCGCGACGGGAGGCGGCGGCGCCACCGCGGCTGCTGGAATTGCGCCGCTTTAAATAGGGGCTTAAATGATGGCAGATGAAGCAGGCTGCATCCAGCGCGGCGGTGATGGTGTCTCTATTAGAGCGGGCGCGTCGTGGGGGCTGCGGGGGGCCCGCGGCAGGGCAGGGCAGGGCGGGG